TAACAAAATAATAATAAATAAATACCATATTAGCAAAATGTATTGAGAACTTAAAATTGTCGTTGAGAAATAAGAAAATTTTACATACAAAAGCAAAAAAATAAGTGTCAATTGAACTTTACAGAAAAGCTTTCTATTCGTTTTACCGGAGACCGTAATATTACGATCTTTGCTGCAAATTTCAATGGCTTAACAGCAATGTTAACAACAGCCAAGTTAAGTACTGTTAAGTTAAGTTTTTGTGTGAAGCTTACTGTTATCGAATAATGTTACGTTTCAATTCGTCTAAGTTTTGTTATTTATACCAAAAAAACTCGAGCATTCGAAAGTTCATTATTATAATTATTATTAAATTTAATATTTATTTGTTATAAGCAATATTTATAAATTATTTATTAAATTGTTAAGTTTTATTTTTTGTTTTACAGTTCTTATGCTTACAATTTTGTTAGATTTTAATATTAAAATTGAATTTTGTATCATGCATTAGTTTAAAGTGTAAAACTGTGTAACAAATACAATAATTATAATAAAATTTAGTACATAATTTAATAAATGAAATGTTTTATTATTATTTGAAAAGTATAATATTAAAGCTTTCAACTTGAATTAATAGAATCTATACATAATCTATACATGATTTTTAAATTATTTGAATATACAATACAAAATCGTCCAAAAAAGGTTTTCTTTTCAGTAGACGGAGCCTATCATCATGTGAGGTGAATATAGCTTAACATATACTTAAAACCAAGTCTTATATACTCGGATCTACTCCATTTAATAGAGAACTAATCCGGATTTCTTAGTCATTATTAGTCTCAGTTAGTTACTATCAAATAAACTTTGACTTTAAGTAAAAATTAAGCCATGTTTGGTGAGGATTATTTGTTAAACATTCAAATCGGCCACTATAATTTATTTTATAATGATCATTTAAGTATCGATTTAACATTAAATTGACATTTCATTAAATTTATAATGACACTTTAGTTAGGAATTATTTTATTATTATAAGTTTGCGCTGTTACTCTGAATTTAATAGTTATAGATAAGGATAAGAACTCATAAGTATTACTGAGCTGTATCCATCATTTTGTTACTTTGTTCAATTGAAAATTATGGAGAATCAATCTAGAAAAGTTACATTACAGTCAACTACACCGCCCTACAGACAAACAATATACAATACATTTAAAGTAAATTACACGATCTAGTAACTGTAGTAGTTGATAACACTCTATACATAAATATCGATGAAACTAAAGTCCCAGCAGTCCCAAAATTTCCACTACCAATAATTTAGGACGTCAATACTATGTGGTAACAGGAAAGCATTATCTTTGTAGGCGGTACCGTCGAGAAAATTTTTTGCACATATAATGAAAATATACTTCAACCACTAAGACCCATGTTATGTAGAGTGTCACGGGCATGTCAAAATGAAAATTGTTGTGGCCTTCAATACAAATTAAAAAACTACGAGTGAGAGAAATAACAAATGACGGTTTAAATTCGGTCATGAGACCCAAGCCATGTTGTATGTATGTGTGTACATATTTCCTTTAAATTTTAGACACAACCAAAAAGTACGAAATTAATAGTAAAAATACGAAATTGACAATCTGATGTGACACTCAGTTACCAATTAAGAGCCAATTATGACGAGCCCATGACTTCCTGTGTCATGCGTCATATTTCTAAGTTAGGGAAGACGAACAAAAAGTGAATGTCAATGTCAGAATGAATACGTTTAAATGCTTGTGAATATATGGGGGATCAGCTAGTATCATGTTTTGGTTCGAGTCCGTAACAGTATGTGTCCAATGGAGACATTAATAAAATATAATTATATACAGTTTTCTCTCCATATGAAGAGGCAGCTGTGCAGGATACAAAAATCTTGCCATGCCATCTTAATCATACATTTGAAAAAGGGAAGTAATTAAATGTAACAGCATCACATATGAAGTTTATATTAAATTAGATGGAAAAAAACTTATTTATATTTGAATTTTTTTTTTATTAAGAAACGTGCCTCTTTAACACTCTAAAGTGCGACTATTAATAGAACGCATATTATATCACTGAATAATAAATTTATTTTGAGTTTTATTAGAAATGTGTTTATTAGTATAACAAAATACTTCTATATATTAAAATGATAATAATTTTAATTTCAATTCACCTAAACTATTTTAATAGTTTCGTCTTAATTACGCTAATTTATGTAGTCAAAATAGTTAATTAAGCAATAAAATGAAGTTCAAGTGACGTCAGTTTAAATACAATTAAATTTACTTAAATCTTTTGTGCGATTTTACTCAATGAAATTTTGTATTCATTTTAATTAATTAATTATTTCGAAAAACATTTCCATATATGCTGAAATACGAGTCCATCTTAATTATATATATATTTATCTACATCTAAATAAATATGGATTCCAAGCAATTGCTATAATACAATTACAGTTTGTCATTTACATATTGTATGATGAGAAATTATATATATTTATATATAATTAGATTTACCAAATTTACAAGTCTACAACTTTACATCCAATCAATAGAAAAATTGGAAAATAAAACTCTCTGAGTCTTATTATACATATACATATATATATATGTATATTCACAATGCATATATAATATTATGAATTTATTATTATTTACCAAGCAAAGATAAATTTGATCTCTCTATATTAGAAAATAATTTCTTGAACTACTGTTTCATATAAGAAATACCGTACAGCACATTAAATGATGGACTGTGTACTTACACGGTTGGCAATGAAAGATAAAGCGACATATGTTAACATACACACGCACACACGCTTTTGTAGTCTATTTGGAAGGTGTTTTTCCATCTGAACCCGTGTTGATCTTCAATTTAAGTCCCACTCACTAGAAACCACCCTTTCTCCCTACCTTTAACCAATATTCAATTACATCCCTATCCATGTAATCGTCTTGTAAATCCTTTCATGTTGCCTGCTTACAGGTCCTATTGGGATACAACAACAACAAAAATAAAGTGAAAAATGTTCATAAGGATGAAAGGAACTTAGCCACGAAAAACGGTACAGAAAGAAAGACGATTTATCCATATAAAGAAAGAAGAACAATCAAAGAGAACCACGTTCCCCTGAAACAATCAATAAAAATACGATAGAAGACTAAGAGAGGATATACTGACAGTTTTTTCAAAACACCCACTCTCAACCTAACCTAAGCTTCTATAGTTTCAGATAGTCATCCTAAATCAAAAAAATTAGAACAATTTTAAAGCGAATGATCTGCTAAAGTAGATAGGTACGCTTATCTGTGTTAATCTACTTTGAATCATTAAGACGAATCATTAATCATATGATCTTTAATAAATAAATCTGGAGCAGGTAATATATATTGTGATGCAATATATATTACTATATATACTATATATATAAAAGATATTACCATATATGAACTACGTAGATAAGACGTATATGAAGCTTGCACAACATTTGGATATTTTAGTCTAATTTAAACATACAAAACACATAAATATAAAAATATGTTTAATTAATACATCCTTCCCCAAACTCCTCTTCTTTCCAGCCTAATGAAGGGATGTTTCAGTTATTAGTACTATATCAAAGCTTATGTGGCCGCCACTTCATAGCAAAAAATCAAGGAACTTACTCAGCTTAACTGGAGAAGACATATTTTTGGTCGTAGCTTGTTTAACTGGTCACTAAGTGTTCGGGAGATATGCTATTAAGTTGGGTGTCCCCCATAATAAATATTTCAGAAGTTGAGGAGAAAGAGGAGGTAACAGTGAAGCACTCTTACGTAGCTGTCCAACTCTAGCTGGAAGTAGTCTGAACATCTTAGGCAAACATATATTTAGCTCTCTCATAGAGGTATTCAATACTTTGATTTATAACATCCGCAATTAATGGAAGCCACAAAATGGTTCCATAAATAATACAGTTAAAATCCTGTGTTATGTAGTGGTGTCACAATGTACGCCAGTAGGGTATACTATATGTGAGTTGGACAATTAGACCGATTGACACATTAATCTAACCTAAGCTACTATACTGTGTTTAATTTTTAACTTAATAAAACATGTTCAAATGTCTAAAGAAACATATATCTTCAATCTAATTCTTTTAGAAATCCATCAACCACGTAATTAACATGCCATCTAAAAATTTACGGTATAATAATACGAAATAACTATTATTCTATTCTCTCTAAATTTCTTTCTCTCATTCTAAAATCCATCAACCACATCACCTAACATACTATCTAAAAATGTAGGGTAACAATTATAAAGTCATTGATCAAATACTTTACTGTAAATATTATAAAAAAGCAAAACTGATCAAATAAGTTTACGCCGTACAGAATATACTTGCATTACACACCCTGTATATAAAGTTAATAATCAAAATGAACTTTAGAATATTTGCATTAAATGTAAATGGATTAAAATGATTCGCCCATAAGTAGTATCGCGGTCCGCCATATACATAACTTACGAGTGTACCTTAGATATTACGATTATATATGTAGGAATCACTAAATCAGTTTCAGGTACTAGAAAGGGAAATAGTGTCGCAACGTGTTTAGTATTTAGTTTTCATTTAAAGTGACAACAGCTACGATTCTCCACAAAACCTAAACGCATTGATTCAACTAAAAGCTTCGAAATATTTTTGTGCTGAAGGTGGCCTTTGAACTGTTTTTAAATTAAGTGCAGAGTAAAAAAATTAAATTCAAAAATTTATTCGAATTATACTGAAATCATACATTTGTGACGCTAATCCGAGTTCTAGTTCAACTGTCACACTAAGTGCTGCTCGCAATTAAAAAGTTATTAACAACATAATAAAAATTTTAAAAATATTTAAACAAAAATACTTTCTAAAATGCACATCCTATTCTCCGTTCTGCTCACTTTTGTTAATGTAATTTCTATAATTGTAAATTTCGTATATAATTTGGTTGTACCGCAAAAGAAACCCGACTACCCACCCATCAGATCGAAGATATTGACAAAATCTGTAACCGAATTGGTTACGGAGTTACGGAACAGAAAGGTGATTAGCTCATGGAGTTGGCATGTTAAACACTAAAATTCTAAAATTCCACATTTTACAGTTGACATCTGTGGAAATCGTCCAAGCTTATATAACTCGTATTAAAGAGGTTAATACTTCCCTGAATGCAGTCATAGAAGATCGCTTTGAACAAGCTATAAGGGATGCAGAACGTGCAGATACAATGATCTCGAGTACTAGTGATGAGAATCTACTTAAACTTTTTATGAAATACCCATTATTGGGCATTCCATTCACTGTAAAAGAATCATGTGGTTTAAAAGGTTCGTATTGATCATATAAACAAAAATATATATTCTCGTACGTATATACACTGATTCCCGTAATTCTATTCAATTCATTACAATATCTTCACTCCATTTTTTTTTATACCATCCTTTTTGTTCCTATAAAATTTATATTATTTTATTATTTTGTTTTTATTTTTTAATAAATAATTAAAACTAGCTTCGCTATTTCTGTTACGGATTATCGTCTTCGAACATAGCCACAATATTCTAACTTAAATTTGTTGCATTTTTTATAATTGACCCTAAAGACTTCCTTGCTCAAACCAATACCAGTTATGCTTAAATATTTATTGATCCAGTTTCCCAGGAACATAGTCAAAGGGGTGCTTGATGAGCTAATGACGTCCCCACTCACAAAATGAATCTATAGCATAATAAAGCGCTAGAATATAAAAATCTAAATAATCAATCTGCAATTCATTTACAAAATGACTGACTGGTAAACAAAAATATAGTCGATTCCCCATTTTATCTGAATGACTCCCCTCTTATATAAATTTTTGACTACATGTACAAGGTTTTGGCTACAGGTTTTGGTTTAACATGACTAAATAGTAAACAGTACTATACTTGATACAGAATTTTATATAAAAGACCACCCTTCAAAAGTAAGTTTCTGGCTATTGGCCTATGATTTCCCGTAGCTCTCCTTTTATCTACACTTCCAAATGTAGGCACAATATATTTTTCAATTCTTTGTTTGAGATCTGAATTTGATTGTATTCATTAATATACATATTTGTATATACATTTATATATTCTTCTTCTTCTTGTCAATACTAACAAACATTTAATAATCAGATATAATTATTTATTCGAGAGAAAGTAATTATATTTAATATTGCTCTTTACCTCTCTAAAATCACCTTTTAAGAATGTATAATGAAGATTTTAATCATTAGACCATGAAGATTAGAGTACTGAGAACCTTATTCCATTAATCAAGAGCAAAAGTAAATCCGTTTTCTTTTTTTCTAATTTGTCAAAATGAACAAAACGATCATATAGGACTTAACTCCATTAAAATCATCTTTTAAGAATGAATAGTGAGAATTGCAAGCATTAAGGTCAGGCCGTTAAGATCAGAGTGCTTATAGTGCTTAAAACCTAATACCAATTAGTGAGGATTCCAATTATTGGGCCCTGAAGTTCAGAGTGCTGAGAACCTCACACCAATAATTGGGGCCAAAATTGAAATTAATAGGCTTAAAACTTAGAAATCTATTTTTATCTAATAAGCTAAACCCAAGATATATATAAAGAGAAAACAGGGAGAAGAGCGATACAGACGTTATTAGATACGAGTATAGGCCGCGATTGTAAAGTGTGATAATGGAAGTAACGTATAACACCTTATCGAAATAGAATCGGAGGTATTGAGGAGCTTATGTTTCTTAGCTGAAATCAAATGGAGAGAAATGATGCTAGTGGGATGAAAGTCATCATTTTACTCGCATTTAACAGTAGGTATATGTAGGTCAGTAGGTCTTATATGAGAAAATTTCGAATTTATTCGTTTATTGTACAAATTCGTTACGATGAATTAACTATGTATAATATACACTCATATACATGTTATATATAAAATGCGACTTAAACGACATAAATACGGGAGAGGACTGGTTTTAAGACCCTTTGTTTTCCATACCTTATCATATAAGAAAGAAGAAAGAAACTAAAAGTGATCTTTTATCATGTTCATTGAGTTATGGAGTAAATATATGTAAGAATTTTGTTTAGATTATTATATGTTAATATAATCAAGTTCCAATTATAGTGTTTTATATGAGTGCAAGAAGGAAGTTCCTTCTTTAACACTCTTCTCATGCGATTATCATATTTTCTTAAATAATCTGCCACATTTATGCTGTTTAATTAATAAACACACATTTGTTTTTATACATATTATGTTATATAAAATAATATAAATTTAGTTTTATAAACTACGACTTTTCATATTTTTTAAAAAATATTAGCATTAATTAATAATTAAATTCTTTTCAGGACATTCATATGTTGTTGGTAGTGCATTTCGTTTAAGGGAGCGATGTACAGAAGAAGGTGAAA